TTGTCACTGTAAATGGATTATAAGGAAACATTTATTCAAGAACATATACTAAGTATCAGTAAGAACAGCAGATCTGTGCCAACTGATCTACGACTCCTGCCCCCCATGCCCACCACCCACCCCCGCTCTGTATGAGGAAAGTAATATTATGAGTGGGTGAACCTGAAATGATAGGTTCCCCTTCTTCCATCTCCCAGTCAAGGACTACAGGTAGCATCACTTCCAGGGAGACAGGATGCCATCCTTTCTCAACCCCGCAGGTCCATGTGTCAGAGGGTAATTTCAGGGAGGTGTTATTGACAGGTTAGGGACTTTTCCCTCCACCCAGATGTCACTCATTGGTTCCAGGTTCCACCCAGCGATAACAGGCTCAGAATACTGGGCTCTCTGTCACTGTGGCCCCAGCTTGTTTGTAGTGAAGATTTTCCATGTTGGGAGAAGCAAGCCATGAAGGCCAGTGTCTACTAACCCCTGCCCAGTGCTCTGTGTTTAAAGCTGAGGGGGCCTTCTGAGAAAGGCCTCCACTGTCCTTGCCTCCAGTTCTCAAGCTGTGGCTCAGAGACACAGATAAGAACAGAGCTTTGCCTGGTTGGTGTGTCTCAGAGATTGAGTGGTAACCCATGTGCCAGGAGGTCACCCGGTCCAATCCCAGTCAGGGCACATGCCTGGGTTTCAGGTTCTATCCCCAGCAGAGGGCGTCCAGGAGGCAGCTGATTGATGTTGATGTTTCTCTCTCATCCATGTTCTATCTCTCTCCTTCTCCCTTCCTCTCTCTCTTAAAAAAAATCAATAAAAACACGTTAAGAAGTGGAGGGGGGGTAGTGGGGTGGGAGAAGGGGTCCTAATATAAGGTGATGAGAAGATTTAACTTTGGATGGTGTGCACATGGTGCAATACACAGATTTTGTAACATAGGAACCCATACCTAAAACCTATGTGTCATGGTGACCAATGTCACCCCAATCAATTTAATAAATAAATATAAAAAATATTTAAAAAAAGGTCAGAGAGCTTCAACGTTCTTTCCTAGAAAGTGACTTTATTTGGAACAGAATGTGTGGAGGGAGTTCATGGAGAATGGCAGTCTTATTAACAATGAAGATGGTGGTGGTCACCAATGCAGAGGAGTTGGATGGCTCCATTACAAGCTAACCCCCAGGCTAGCTGTTGAACTAGGGAGAACTCGGGAAACCGACAGCTGATAGTAGTCCTCCTGGGGTCAGAACTAACCTCCAAGCCACTCTCAGAAACAACCCCCGAGTGAATTAAAAATTAGTCTATCTTTATTGTTTAAGGTATTACAGATGTCCCTTTTCCGTCCCCCCGCCATTATCACCCCCTCCTCCCCACTGTTTTCCCCGGCCTTCACCCCACTATTGTCTGTGTCCGTGGGTTATACATATGTAGATAAGAGTTCTTTGGTTGATCTCTTCCCTCCTTCCCTTCCATCTGAGGATCTTCCATGACTCTGGATCTATTTTGTCAGTTTATTTTGTTTATTAGATTCCACATATGAGTGAGCTTATGTGATACTTGTTTTTCTTTGACTGACTTATTTCACTTAGTATACTACTCTCCAGGTTCCTCCATGCAGTCCCAAAGGGTAAGAGATTTTTCTTTTTTGTAGTTGCACAGTATTCCATGGTATAAATGTACCACGGCTTTTTTATCCACTCATCTACTGATGGGCACTTGGGATGTTTCCAGATCTTAGCTATTATAAATTGTGCTGCTATGAACATAGGGGGGGGGGAACATCCATTTTTTCTGATTGGTGTTTTGGGTTTCTTGGGGTATATTCCTAGAAGTGGGATCACTGGGCTAAATGGGAGTTCCATTTTTAATTTTTTGAGGAAACTCCATACTACTTTCCACAGTGGCTGCACCAGTCTGTATTCCCACCAGCAGTGTACTAGGGTTCTCTTTTCTCCACATCCTTGCCAGCACTTGTCATTTATTGATATGTTGATGGTAGCCATTCTGATAGGTGTGAGATGATACCTCATTATCATTTTAATTTGCTGTTTTGAGAAGAAATAGAAACATAGTCATACAGAATTAAAATGGCAATAAATGAGTACCTATCAATGGTAACCTTAAATGTAAATGGATTAAGTACTGCAATCAAAAGACATATTGTAGCTGAATGGATACAAAAACATGACCCAACTATCTGTGGTTTACAAGAGACCCACATAAAATGAGAGGGAGAGAGAGAGAAACATTGATGTGAGAATTTATTCCGCCGTCCTATACACACCCCTATTGGGGATCAAACCCACCACCTGCGTAGGTGCCCTGTGACCTTTTAGTGTATGGGATGATGTTCCTCCAACTGAGCCACACTAAGCAAGGCAAGAAGTTTCTGTTGTTTTTTTTTAATCCTCACCTGTGGAGTGATGATATTTTTACCATTGATTTTTAGGGAGAGTGGATGATAGGGGGTCAGGGGAAAAGAGAGAGAGAGAAACATTGATGTGAGAGCGACACAATTGGTTGCCTCCTATGTGCGCTTCAACTGGGGGCAGGGATAAAACCTGCCCAGGTATGTACCCTTGACCAGGAATCAAACCCTTGACTCTCTGGTGTGCAGAACAATGCTCTAACCTCTGAACAATGCTGGCCAGATCAGAAATTTCTTTTTTAAAAAATATATGTTTTTATTTCAGAGAGGAAGGGAGAGGGAGAGAAACATCAATGATGAGAATCATTGATTAGCTGCCTCCTGCATGCCTCCCCCACTGGGGATGGAGCCCACAACCCTGGCATGTGCCCTGGCTGGGAATGGAACCTGGTTCATAGGTCGACACTCAACCACTGAGTCACGCAATTTGGGCTGGTTTTAACAAGAGAACCATTCTCCTGAATAATGATGTTGATAGGGAAGTGAGCATACACAGACCTCATCCTATATAATAAAGAGGTAATATGCAAATTAACCCCCATGCCCTCAAAGATGGCTGCCTATGACCATGCCGGCACGGGGGTTAGTGAGGAATGACCAAACAACTGAAAAAGCAGGCTGTGTGGGGCAACCAGGCTGTCAGGGGGGCCATGAGGGGTGACCGGGCTGGCGGTGGGGGGAAGTTGGGGGTGACCAAGCTGGCAGGGGGGCATTTGGGGGCGACCAGGCTGGCAGGGGCGGTGCAGTAAGAGGTGACCAGGCCAGTGGTGTGGCAGTTACGGGTGACCAGGCCAGCTGGGACAGGGGTGCAGTTGTGGGTGTCCAGGCAGGCAGGGGGGCCAGTTGGGGGTGATTAGGCTGGCAGGGGGGACAGGGATGGGTGACTAGGCTGGCGGTGGGCACCAGTCTGGCAGAGGGGGACAATTGGGGGAGACCAGGCCAGTGGAGGGGCAGTAAAGTGTGACCAGGTCGGCATGGAAGGGGCAGTTGGGGGTGACCTGACCGGCAGCTGGGGGCAGTTAGGGGTGACCATGCCAGCAGGGGAACCAGTTAGGGGCAATCAGGACGGCATGCAGAGTCAGTGAGGGGCGATCAGGCTGGTCGGGGGGCAGTGCGGTTAGGGGCGACTACGTAGGCAGGAAGATGAGCGATTAGGAGCCAGCAGCCCAGGATTCTGAGTGGGATGTGCGGCTGCTGGTGTATGCCCGATCCCCGGGATAGGGCCTAAACCGGCAGTTGGACATCCCCCAAGGGGTCACAGATTGGAGAGGGTGCAGTTTTGAATGAGGGGACCCCCGCGCATAAATTTCATGCACCGGGCCTCTAGTCTTGTAATGAAAGCCCAGTGTAAGACCCTTGATCATGTTCTGTACATGATGCAGATAGTATGAATGGTGGCCAATTCCTACATCCCCACCATTTGTCAACCCAGAACCTCTTTTCTTTCCAGGGAAACTGAGTTCTATGTTGATGTGTTTGAAGTCCATCTGCAGGGTGCCTTTGCATCCGTTCGGAATGCTGTCAATATTTTCTGGAAAGGTGATAGTACGATTGCTGAGAATGATCTTATTCTTGCAGGAAATGCAGTAAAGAGCTCAAAGTCTTTTACAACAAGATAGTTTATGTATTCTTGAGTAATCCTATATAATAAAAGGGTAATATGCAGGGTGGGGGCAGTTAGGGGTGACCAGGTCAGCAGGGAGGGCAGTTAGGGGCAATCAGGCCAGCACGCAGAGGCAGTGAGGGGCGAACAGGCCAGCGGGGTGGGGGTGGGGGCAGTTATTGACCGAATGGTGGAACGACTGTTCACTATGACATGCACTGAGCAGGCAGGGAGAGTAGGCAATCAGGCAGGCAGGCAATCATGTCCGACTGCTGGTTTAGGATGACAGTTGGAAATCCCCTGAGGGATCCTAGATTTCGAGGGTGCACAGGCCGGGCTGAGGGACCCCTTCCCCAGTGCATGAATTTCATGCAGCGGGCCTCTAGTAAGTAAATAAGCATGAGAATATAAAAATATCACCCCCTCCTCAAAGCTTCAGGCCCAGCTCCCTCGTAAATTTCCTCTGTCCACTGAAGAGGCATTAAGTAGCGGCAGATAAAGGATGGAATTACGTAAAGTGGGCAAGGAACAGATAGGACATAGGGAAATGGGCCCATCATAATTGAAGAATTTGGAGTCTGATTTTTCTCATTCTACCATACCTCCCAGAAAAATATCAAAATATCAAAGCTCTGGTCTTAGCTCTGCCCATAGCTATGTAAAGTGAGAAACTCACTCAAGGTTTCCAGATCTGTGATTCCATTTCTGCCAAAGTTGTGGGTTAGAGGAGATCCATTTAAAGGCCCTTTCAGCACTAAAATTGACTTTGAGTCTGGGGGCACATACAAAGCAGAGCAAAAACTTTATTAGAAATGACAAACACATCCATAGGAACTCTCTGTTCTTCAATTCTCCACCTGCTCATCAACTCATGACCAGCATTCAGAGGCTCCCAGTCCAAAGAGGTGTCCTGTGACTTGGGACAGATGTCTCCACAGGAACACTGTCGAGCGATTATAGCAATAGCAGCAGCAATAGCCCAAACCTCCTAACTGAAATGGGAAAGCAGGTGGTGGCCCCATTTCCAACCTTTTGGGATTGAATGAGAGATTGGTATGGACACATTTCCTTTACCCACATGGGTCCAATTGTGAATATCCCAGACATCAGCCCACAATGAGATACAGATGTACAGCCTTTGACCTCCAAAGTTGAGTCGATGTCTCCTATGGAACAAGGAAGGATGGGGAGACACACAGATGTTTTAGAAAACCAGAGAGGAATCCAGTCCCTCCTCATTCCTGGATCCCTGAGTGTCAGGACCTCTTGGGATCCACTTAGATGTCTAGTTTTCCAGTCTCTGAATCCATCAGATGTTCAGTTTACCTCCAGCAACCCGAAGTTTTCCTTGATAGCATTGAGTTGTATCAATGGGACAGGGAAGAGAAGGCGCACTTGAACAGACTCCAAGAGCTAAACAGGTTGGGCTGTGGAAGGTTGTTGACATATTGGGAGCTGGAGGGGGAAAGAGAGGAACAATTTAAGAGTATGTCCTGCTTTTGGAATTCTCTCCTTGCTACCTCGTCTCCCCCAAGTCTTTCGTGTTGATACCACTATAATCAAGGCCTATTACTGCCACCTTCCCCCTCTTTCCCAACTGATTTTCTTGGCTGTCAGAACCCCATCCAACATGACTTTCAAACTCTGTGCTTAGTTCCATCTAGGATCATTGTCTAGAAGGATAGAGACCTGTAAATAATTCAATACAACTCAGTAGGCATTGTGTCTTAGGTATAAGAGCAAAAAATTAAAGGAAGGCCAAACTACCTAAAAGAATTTGGTGTTTTCTGGGAGCTGATACTGAGTTGAGATGATAAATAGAGATTAGCTTTGTGAAAATGGGGGGTTTGATGGTGTAGCAAAGGAAACAGTAAGGACAAAGTCCTGGAGCTGTGAGCCAACTTGGTGAATTTGGGGAATTGTCAGCAATTGCAGTGTTGATATTCAACTGCGAGGCACTGGTAGGGCTGGACTGGCTTTTATAACCGTGTCCATTCTGATTGGCCAGTACCACCTCCATTGTCAACTATTTTGAATATCAGCCTCAGGTAGAACACAATAGATAAGAGAAGGAAGTGAGCTGAAAAGATAGGCCAAAGGGGGGAAGCAGGCTATGATCTGGTGGCAGCCAGGAAGCGATAATTGTTAGGTTAACGCCATCACCTTGTTCAGAGATCTTCACAGACATCTTGTTTAGTGACACAAAACCCAAGGTATATCCCAGCCTTCACTGATATCCCTCTCTTCTGAGCAGCGTTGAGACCCCAAGGTAACAATTTAGAAAAAGAAAGACAAGCAGAAGGTCTGTGGTCCTTTTGTGTGTGGCCTGCTTGGGCCTAAGCCGCGTAGGAACAGAAAAAGAGGTGTCAGGTGGGTGGGTGGGTCCGTGAGATGCCAGGGGCTCACTGTGGAGAGCATACAATTGTGTAACCACTATGCTGGACCCCGGAAACGAATACAAAACAACGCTGAATGCAAACCGCATTGGAAAACACACAAATGATGGTAAGCTGTGGGGAGAAAAGGACAAGAAGGAGGAAGACCTACACTGCCTTCTGGGTTGACCGCCTTTCCCTCTCCCCTCCCAAGGTACCTGGGATCACCTCTGGATTCCATATCTCAGGGATGTTCTTCCTGTTGTTGCAGAAGGAGTGCTCACAGTAGCTACTGTAGGAGACCACCATTATGCCGGGCGGTGGGGAGTGCTGGACCAACGTTATGGCGGGTATCCCGTCGGGGTTGCAGCCCTTCGTGGCCAGAAGTGCCATCTTGGCCCCTGTTAGGAGCGCAAAGAGAAGGAAGGGGGGTGGTCTGCCTCACCTTTGGCCCGGGGGGAGAGGGGAACAGCACTGACACGGATGCCATCACCTTCCTCCCACTCAACGGGACCGCCCCTTCTCGTTTTACCGGATTTGACCATCATCAGGGATTCCTGGCACAGCGCTCCATTGTCACAAGTCTCAACTCTCTCCGTGGTCCAGTTGAATGCGCTTGGGTCCTCCTCCAGGCTCATGGATATGCCCTTGTGACAGTACAGATGCTGCGCCACTGGGGTGGGAACAGGGTACAGGTCAGCACCTGCCCTCCTCCGTGGGGCCCCCATCACACCTTTCCCACCAAAACTCCCGCCTGTGACCCGGATGCGCTTTCCCCTTGACCCCCACACGTACGAGTGGAGGAGGCTCTGAGGAGAAAGAGCAGCAGCAAACCCTGGGTGTGACGGCCCCCCATGGCTCCGTGAAGAGAGGGTTGGTTGAAACGACCCGGTTCTGTGATTCGATGGAGGAGAGAGAGCTTTCAACCACCTTCGAATGAGAGAGGCTAAATTTAGGTCCCACGAGTTTGGACATCAGGGCAGGGGTCACCGGTATGTCAAGCACTGACCCCCAAAGCCAGGCCGCCCCTGTCCATCCAGCTTGTGGGTTGGAGCCAGTTACCACGGTCACTGGGCCTCAGTGTCCACCGCTGTGATGCTGAGGCCCAGCCACCAACTTCCTCAAGGCAAGGCGTGCAGCCACCAAAGCCTCTCCCACCGCAGGCCCCAGGCGTCTGGCCCAAAGGCCCCTCCTCCCTCTGGCCCAGCAGCCCAGTCCCCACCTACGGTCGGCCCCTCAAGGCCCAGGTATCCGGGCCCCAGCTCCTAGATCCATCAGAACCCGGGGTCTGGAATCCCCACCCTGACCTCTGAGGAGCTGGGGTTCAGCCTCCTCTTCCCGCAGGGCCCGTCATGCCAGGCCCAGACCTCTCTCTCAGACCCGGGAGCCCAGGGCCCAGGCCCACCCCCCTCAGACCCGGGCGTCCGCTGCCTCCTCCCGTCATCTCTTTCCTCAGGCCCCAGGAATCTCCGTCCCCAGTCCCCTCTGAGTCTTTAAAGGGCCAAATTCCACCTGCTTCCAGAGAATTTCCACAGAAATCTAACGGTTCTAAAGGTTTTGGCCCCGAACGCCCTCTGGCCCAGCCTGGCCTTCTCTGCTCGTCTCTCCTCAAGGCTCGGAAGGCGGGGCCAGCCTCGCCCCCCAGGTCACTCGAAGCCCCATTGGTCAACACAAAAGCATCTGATGCGCTCATTGGATGAGCCTGGAGGAACCGCCCGGGAGAAGCCTATTCCTGGCCGTCTTGGAAGGCGCGCGCATGCGCCAAATGGCGAGTGTTGGTTAAGTGGCTGCGCGCAGCAGGTGGGTGGGGACGCAGGCGCGTCTCGGAGGACATGGCTGATTCTTTTCTCTCTCTGGGCAATGGCGGCTCAGCTGCTCCTGCCATGTTGTATAGAAGCTTTCTGGATGTAACATGAAGTGAAGATGCCTTTTGTGTACGTTCAGACTTGGAACTGTTTCTGTGAGTTGTATGGTATAAATGACTATTTTTTTAAACAGAGAAAATGCTGTAAGAATGATGATAGTAAAGCTCTTAATTTTAGGTAAAAATATACTAAGAACTCGGAAATGGTTAATAACACTCTAAAGACAGTGAATACAAATATTAAGAGATAGCAATTTAGCTAGGTTAGGAAGAATATCATATTCTTTTACAATACCCAACCAACTGAGCCAGGGCTTCTCTGCCAATTTTTAAATTGGATTGTTTGTTTTTTGGGTGTTGAGCTGTATACGTTCTTTATAAATTTTGGATATTAACTTCTTATTAAATGTGTATCATTGACAAATATCTTCTTACATTTAAAAGGTTGTCTTCTCATTTTGTTGATGATTGCCTATGCTGTGCAAAATCTTTTTAGTGTGATGTAGATCCATTTGTTTATTTTTTCTTTTGTTTCTTTTGACTGAGGAGATATGTCAGAACAAATATTGCTAAGGAAAATGTCCAAGATTTTACTGCCTATGTTTTCTTCTAAGAGTTTTATGGTTTCAAGTCTTGTATTTAATTCTTTAATCAATTTTGAGTTTATTCTTGTATATGGCGTAAGAAGGTGATAGTTTCACATTTTTTGCATATATCCAATATCATTTTAGATACATGGAAGTTAACTTTTCCAACACCACTATTGAATAGACTATTTACTTCATTGTATGTTTTCAGCCATTATATCCTCAAATAGGTTCTAAATTCCTTTCTCTCTCTAATCTTCTTGTGATACTCCTATGATGCAGATGTTGTTACTCATTTTTAATTATTTTTTCTTTGCTGTTATTATTATAAAACTAGAGGCCCGGTGCATGAAATTCGTGCAAGAGTAGGCCTTCCTT